TAATATATTATATATATTAATATATATATAAAATAATATAGAATATAATTATAACGTTGTTGCAATATATTACACTATATTATCATAATATATGTATAAAATCTATCTAACTTCCTTATGTATGTAAAAATATATACATACATAATATACGTGTACAAATGTTGGAGGAGAAGCGTGGTTGTAATCGTAAAAAAGCTCCCATCGTGGTTTAATATTCGTCCATCAAACGTGAAGGCCGTGATCAGTTCTTTCGAGGACACGTGAGTTCGTAACGTGTCTTGCACTTTAATAATTACTCTCGCTTTATCCCTCTTATGCACACACGCACACACACACACAGACGTATGTATATGTTGATGGTGTTTATTTACTTGCTTTCTTTCTTTCCTTCTTCTTTTATATATACAGATACAAATATTCCCTCTTATGCATATACACACACACACACAAACAGACATATGTATACATTTGTTTGTTTGTTTGTTGTTTGCTTTCTTTTTTCTTTGTTAATATATATATGTAGAAATACAAATATGGAAAAGAGGAATAAATTAGAGATTCATCGTTTATCTTTGATTTCAGCACTTTCCACGGATGATGTGAGAGATGACGGGACTCAAGGCCACGAAAATGAGACCGGTGAGTGAGTAGTACAATTTTATCCCGTTTATCGGCTCATTTCTCTAGCGAAAGCGTCATCCATCCATTCGGATGCATAAATCTACCATTGCATCTGTGTATAACTATACATCTCGTTGCGTATGTATGTGTGTAAGTGTGTGTATATTATTCGTGTATGGAATCAGGGAGAGAGCAAGGATCTTTTATTTTCATCTATTTTCTCTTTTTCAATGGTATATTTATTATTATGATCACAAATAATTATCTACACAAAATATTATATTATTATTTTGATTGTGTGTGTATGATTTATTTATGATAAAAGATATACGTAATTTTCGTATATAAAATATTTGCACGTAAATTCATTCATTTATCACGAGTTGTTTGTTTTTTTCCTTCTTCTTTCTACAAGTTATTAAATATAATTTCAATAATTATCGTTTATTTGCAGTAAATATAAATAAAACATATATTAATATATTGTCAGAGGTTATATTTGGAAGCATTCGAAAATTTCTAAATTTCATGTTTTAACATTAACATATTTATATATATTAATATATAGATTGAAATAAATGATTTAATTCGTCCTTCGTCCAATTCGATTCAATAATAAATGATTACTGTCGATTATGCAAATTACATGCGATTTTCTATTTCATTTCTCAAACGTTCTTATTACGCATGGAATTCGAAGAAAAAAGTTTCTTCCGAGAAAAACTTGTTCCTGATTAATATCTTCGATCGTATTTCTGCTGCAAAAATACGAGGAAGACGTGAACAACAACAAAAAAATAAATACATATATATGCAAAAAGGAAGAAAGAAAATACGAAGAAAAAAGAATAAAAAGAATAATCTTTTTTTCGGAATATTAAAATATAATATAGATTCAAAGTTAGAAATTATAGGATAAGAATCAAACAATAAATATAAAAAGAGAAAGAATAAAAGGAAGGAATAGAGATAAGAATAATAAAGTTAGTTTTGTTTGTTTGTTTGTTTGAGTAGGAGAATGCACGAGCGAAAAAGTGTAAACGACTACTACTCTTACAATGTGTACATTCGGTACAGGGTCAACTGGTCCAGTTCTGAGTGAACGGCGATTGATGCTGGAACATTAATACCCGTAATCCAACGCTAGACACGTTTCATTACCCAAAGCAAAGATTTATCTTCTTTCTCTTGCTTTTTATTTTTTTTTCTCTTTTAATATTTCATTTTTCATTCTCAAACAAAATTCTTCTCATTATCACAACGTTTATGCTATTTCGCTACGTGTACGAGGTTACCCTGAAAACATTCATTCCAATTTATAATTACATTATGAATTTTATTACATATTATTTTGTTGTTGTTGTTGTCTCATCTTCCCCTTTACATCTTCTAATTTAATTTATTTATTCGATTTTTATTTTATTAATAATGTAACTCGACGCAAATATTTCAATGGTAATTCAATACAATTTACCCCGTTGGTAGAATTATCATTTTACTTTTATTTTTTTATTTCTTTTTCTTTTTTTGTTTGTATACTATTCCAGTTACATAAGGAAAGTCATGTAGAAGAAGAAGAGATTATTTCTTTTTATATCTTTTTTTTCTTTTTTGGAAAACATGATCATTACTTTTTCAATACACGTCAATGTCACGTGTCATTCAAATCTTCATATTGAAGATTATTTTTGGGCAACTTTTGTTTTTTTTATATCGTAAAGAGAAATAACTCTATTTCTTTCTTTCTTTACATTTTCTTACCACTTTATTCTCTTTTTTATTTACTTCGAAATTTTTAGAACTATATCATCTGTGTTTATCTTCAGTTGCAATCCGATTGTAAAGAAATAAGGATACATTGATCCTTCGTCAATAACTTTGATGTTACAGTTTCGTGTCTCTTATATCATTCGTATATTCGCTACATCCTTATATACTGCGTTTCACATCAGCGTTAATCGGATTGATTATGTTCGAGATAATGGTATGATGTAAGTGTAGTTATGTTAGTTACGTTGTTTTACTCGGAGATGAAATCACTCGCATTGTCTTCATTATTTCCTCTAAGAAATTAGCCTAATACGTATTAGAAATATATTTTTTCTTCGAAAGAGAAAATTAACAACAACGAGTTTACAGAAGCTGTTCGGAATTATTTCTCATAATCGATAATATGCGAAAATCTCTTTCGAGAAATGGAACATTTATTTATTTGTTCTTATTTTATATTTTAAATATAAATCTGAACGATTTTTTTTCTCGAAGAGTTTGAAACATTTTTAAATACGGGATATAAGAAACTAATAAGAGATGATAGTGTAGTAAATTTATCATGTGTCGGTAACATCGGTAACGTTTGTATCGGTAATGTCGACAACGTCGACAACACATCTATCGGCGATAACGTCGGTAGCACACCTATCGTCGATAATGTAGAAATCGTATTCCACTGTTGGTAACTTATCATAAGTAGAAGATAATATTTACTATCGATACATAATAATAATATCCATATGACAATTTTATTATGAATTATCTACCGTTGATAATAAGTATCAACCGTTGGATTTATCCATCCAGTAATTTGCATTAGAAAAGACTTAATCGTTGTTTAAATGTCACACAAAGATATATATTACAAATGCATATACTATACATCCTACCGATATAAAAATAGATATTGAAAAAAATATTTATATAATATAAATTAATTGAATACAAGTCAAAAAAGAAGCGATAATTAAGATAAGAAAAATATTTTCATTTTCTTAAGTCAATAAAATAACATTTACTTTCTCTCTCTCGAACGTTCGTAAAATAATATTAAACGGTAGAATAAACAATTGAAAATGATCAATTAGGTTGGTAACCTCAAATGAAAATTGTCCTAGAATATAAGCATCTGTATCTTCTTATCATTTTCTGATATCAACATAAACCGGCATAGTTCAATCAACGGTTAACCTCTTCGCTTATATGACAATCAACATTAGTTTACCGCCAGCTGCTTCTTAGCCCAGTACGTAAAGTATAGTAAACGAACACGTGACTTTTACACTATGCCCAGCCAATGGCATACGATGGACGACACGCGCCATATGCTTCTCATCCTATACTTTCTTTCTCTTCCTTTTTCATTTGCTTTATCTTTCTCTTTCTACAGCTCTCTGTTTCCCATCACAAAATATTTAGGCAAACTGACACGTTAAAAGACGTATGTATGTATTTTTTAAATAACGATTTTTCACCATCCCATATATTTGATCTTTTATTCGTAACGATCTTCGAACGTTTCAAATCTTTGTTATTTCTTTTTTTCTTTTCTTTTTAATTTCTTTTCTTTTTCCTTCTTATTCTTTTCGTTTCTTTATCTCGAAAAAAGAGAAACAAGAAGAAGAAAAAAAAAAATAGCGATTTCGCATTCAACGAATTAGTCACAGGCGTTTAATAATTACTCGGCTTAAATGGCAATTACTCGTGTCGTGTCCTTTCGCAGCACTTTAAAGAAAATATTACTGTGACGCGTTTCTGCCTGAATTAACATTGCGCGAAATACGAAACTTTTATTCTTACAGTGCACGTTTTTAAATGTGTACACATGCATTTATATAAACTAACATTTATATACTGGGTCGTTATTTAGTAATATAACTTCTTGACAACAATTTTGATATATATATATATATATATCATTCGACTTAATTTGAAATAAATAAAATAATAAAAAAGAAGTATAACTTCAAAAATCTTTCAAAGTTTTATATTTAAATAACATGGGAGATTTTACATATATACTTTATGATACCATTTAAGTTATGAGAAAACAAAAGATATTTTTTTAAATTCTGTACAAATCATACGTTCGTTCGTTCGTGATACCTTTTTCAGAAACGATATAGTATATTTATTCCCAGAAATTGTTTGTCATTTTTGAGAATTCTTTTTACCAATGTTTATCGTTATAAATATGTATATATATATATATTTATGCATGCATAAACAAGATAAAGAGATAAAACAGTATTTTTATATACTCATTCTTAACATAATCGGTCTTTTGACGATTACGAAAAAAGAAGGTCATATTTTCGCCAATTTAATGTAGCTAATCGTTAATTTACCATAGGATAAAACGTAAAATAAAAAAGAACATTTAAAAAAATTAAAAATCAAATATTTTTATTTGTAAAACGCGTACGAATAAGAAAAATATCCGAATGTAGAATTTCGAATAAAATTTAAAAAAACGATCGTTTAACTGTTAATGATACATTTGTTATTAAATCCATCAATATGAAAAAACATTGTTTAATGTCTGATATTGAATAAAAGAATGAAAATTAATTGCGATGAAAAAGAATAAATAATTCATTATTCGTGTTGATTTAACGGAACCGTAGAAAAATATCAGTTCGTGTTAAAAAAAAATTAGCAATTTATATCGTCTCGCATAAAGATATTATTTAACAATTGAAATATAAAATGTATAGATATACGTATACTTAAAAAAGAAAAAGAAAATCTTACGAATTGTCGAAAAATTGTCTACGTAAGGTAGACTAACAGGAGACAAAATTTTCTAATTATAAACGTTTTATTATTCGGAACAGACAGACTTCGCTTTGAAATATTATGGAACCGATCCAAACAGTAAATTAAATATTATCTAAATTTAGTGAGTAAACGCGTATGATATATTCGCGAATTCACCAATGAGCGCATATAAAAATGCAAAGAAACAAAAAGATACATTATTTTTGTTCGACGATTTGTACAAATTTTGTATTAATTCGATTCCGCGACAAAGTACAAAATATTATAACGTGGGAACATAGATTTGTACTATGTTTCAAGATAATGTTAATTTTCATTCTGTTAGATGAAATGATTAAAAATTTGATTACGAAACAAACATTATTTTGCGATTTTTATTTGTTTTGTGTTTCTTTCAATACTTAATTAAGCACGCGTGCGCACATATACAAACGGGAAGAAAAGTTTCATTGAAAATATTAACA